TGGTGGTCCACATGCCTAATATATGATGGGGAGGAGAGACAGGCTACCATACAGTGCATGTCAGGCAGACACAGGCTACCATACAGTGCATGTGGAGCAGAGACGGGCTACCATACAGTGCATGTCAAGGAGAGACAAACTGGTAGACAGCCTATTATGAAGTGCAAGGGGGGAGAGACAGCCTTTTAAACAGTACATGAGATGGGAGACCACCTAATAAACATTGTGTGGGGAGGAAACATGTACATTAATTTGTAGTGAATGTACTCTGATATGCAGCACAATGAGAAAGCTGCTAATATACAGCATAAGGATGGAACATGACATCTTAATATGTTGCATGATGGGAAAGGGCAGTACCTTAATATGCCATTCAAGAAGAGGGTGACACCTTAATGTGCAGCCCCAGGGAGAGAATATGGCACCCTAATTTTTTAGCACAGAGGCATAAGGACCCTTTAATACACAACTTGATTGTAGCAAAGGTTACCCTAATACAGAGTGATGGGCTTCATGAAATGCAGCACAGAGACAAAACTGAGGTTTGTAAAGACACTGCATTTAACACACAGCTATTTTCACCAGAACAAGGAAAACATTAGTTTTCCAATTGCTTTTGCCCAACATATTTACTGGCCCAAAACTTAGGTGCATTCGAAATCTGGACTCGTGTTTTGTTTTGTTTTTGTTTGGTCTTTAACAGCGTGTCTGTTCAACTATTTGACCTGAGTGTTGCCTCCAAACATACGTTCTCTTGTTTAGTTTGTAGTGATACCCATAAAACAATTGTGGTGTTTACTGTTAGCCAGGGGTTTCATGCCTATTCTGAATTAACACTCTCAAAACCTGTGCAAAGTAAGAGAGTATGCCAGGTTGGAAGTTTTAGTGTCGTTCCTTTCCTTTTACACTACTTAAACGTATTATTGACATCCAGCTCAAGAACCTCAATCACTTTGCTTTCACAACTGCACACTTGCCCCTGTCAGCCAATCAGTGACTCCATATTCACAAAACTGACTTGCAAAAAAATATACTAACAGTAGACACCAGAATAGCATTGATTGTGGCAAAAAACTTGTAGCTAAGAGCAAGCACACTATCAGAAACATTTCATTTTTAGAGTTTAATAGGATTACATAGCCTGGAGTTGATTCTCCATTTTTAATATATTATGTAGATTTGCTGCTTCTGATTATTGCTCATTTGGCAGCAACTAGATTTTGTAAGCCATGCACTGCAAATGCTTGAGCGTGATATTGTATGCATGTGACATCTTTGAATTTGTGAACATGGATGCATGACACCCATGATGTCACATCCACATGCCTGCACATGACATTCCATTGGAATAGGGAGGCATATGTTTGCATTATTTTTAATGCAAGTGCCACTGTACCTGGGGTTTGGGAAACAGAATCTAGAAGTGAACCAAAGTCCTGCATTTGTTACCTGCAGAATTTATTTGCCAAGTATAATTAGCTTACAGAATGCATATTAAGCAACTTTGAACTTTTACCTTAAACTTTATTGTGGACATACATTGTCCTATAAGTTGTCAGTGTTCAGAGACCACATAGATGTAGACTTACATTTTCAGTCAGACAATCACATATATAACTTGTAAGAGACATTCATAATGACCCATTTTAGGTTGGGCTTGTATTAATCAAAAACACTTCATACTTGCTGATAAACCTTGACAAAGTAAATTGTCTATCTCTAACTGAACCATACAATCTTGTTTGCTAAAACGTCAAGAACGTCAATATACCCTGTCTAAGCTGTTGAGATGTAGAATATTGAAGCAGTTGGACAGTAGTAAATCAAACAATACTATAAGTTAGTAATGTAACAAATATTGCCCCCAAGATAGGCCTAGTGCACTGACTTCTGACTACTTGTAAGCTAACAATTCAAGTAATGGTTAATGCTTAATCTTGTGCAGATCTTCTCACTTTGACCTTTTCAACAATAAAAGTACTGTATACTTTTGCTTCTGTTGTAAATCAAATGTCATTCGTTTAGATAGTTTTGATTATTATTAGTACTCTTATTTATTTATTGGTAGAACATAAAGTAATGCATTTAAAAATAATAAATAATTACATGAAACCAATAGCTCTGAATGTGTGTTTACTGCAGCAAATCACAGATCCTGCTTAAACCAGGAAGTGGGTGAGACCTTGCTTTCTGTAGGAACGTTACTGAGCATGCTTGTGTGTGAAAGCACACTTGCATGCACTTTAATTTCTCAGTATTAATACACTAGCATCTTCCTTTCACTTTTGCAAACTGCATCAGTTTTTAACTAAGTAATCAGGAAGCTTCTCCCATCTGTATTTTGGAAGCAGATCCCATTTAGTTTTATGGGGAAATACTGCTTTACGAAATGTATATGGTTGTACTTTTTCTGCATTCTGCTCAGACTGGAATAGTCTTTACGTGATGCTTCACATTGTAACTCATTTTCTCTTTATGGTAGCTGAATTGACTATACCATTTTCTAAATTTCACATAAGGGCTACATTAAAAACCTAATTTCAAATCAAGTTATTCCGATCGTGCAGAGTGCAGCTATAGAGCTTCTAAGTTCCCGTGCATCAAAGTATCATTAAAGCGGCACTGTCATGGCCGAACCAGTTTTTTTTTTTTTTGTTTTGTTTTTTTAACCCGCCTCCACTATCTCTAATTGACCCCCTAGTCACCTCCAAATGCCCCTAAGCCCCCCGTGTAGCGGAAAGCTAGTATTTCATAGCCTACCTCCACTTGTAGATCCCAGTGATGCTCAGGAACAAGTTATTATAAATCCATAGGCAAGGTATCCAGCAGGTAAAACCATACAGTAGTATCCCAACAGCACTCCCAATAACACACAGTATCAGGAGCAGAACTAAAGATTTATTCAGACAGCGGCCTTATAAAGCATGCTCCCATGCAAGGGAGGGATTTCCATTCATTAGTACAGTAGCCAATCCTGTTCCGGTACCTCCCACACATCCCCTCCCCTCAGCCTGCATCATAATCCCCTTATCCAGGACACCAATTCCCCCCATTTCTGGATGTACCCCTAAAGCTAGGGGTACCACTTTAAATTATACATCCCCTGGTAGCCCTGATCTGGGTGAACAACATATCCAAAAATCACCCAGATGTCCTGGAACAAGGGAATAAATCACACGAAAGCCTCTAGTTACAGAGACTGGGGAGGGTTCGCCTGAATCCCCTCGTTCGGTTGTTTCTGTCTACCAAACGAGGG